ATGAAATGTAATACCTTACTCGAAAAAAGTGTTGATCATGTATGCGTCTGATGTAACGAAGCGAGAGGAGAAGACTGTCGACGAGGACGTCGAACGAGCAGGATGGCCGAATTGTAGCAACGATTTGAATATTCGCGCAATTAGAAAAGAAATGCGTGCGCGCGCGTGAGAGAAGGAAAGAAAGAGAGAGCGTGTGCGCGAGGTGTATAAATAATCCGCGAGCGAGCGGGCTCGTTCTTCTTCTTCCTGTTTTCTCCTCGCTTCGGCAGTCGATTGTATCAATAAAATATTTTAGTATTTTGTTAAAACGTACCCCGACAACTTTTTACTTGTGTTGCTGGTATTGCTATTTGTGTACACTTTTTATTCTTTAATTTCATCAATTCCAAAATTTATCATTATGTTATAATTTGTTGATTAGGTGACACAAAATCAAGATTATCTCATTTTTTTGATAAGACGCTGGGCAACACAGAAGAAGGTCCAGAAACGTTTACAACGCGTAAAAATAGAGAAATACAAACATACTTCGCTGAAAATTTAGTACCGCGGAAAACAAATATTATAGACTGGTGGAAATCAAATCAGACACGATTTCCAATACTGTCTCGAGCAGCTAAAGATTGTCTTGCTGTACCAGCAACACAAGTAAAAAGTGAACGCTTATTTTCTACTGCCGGAAACATAGTAATGCAAACACGAGCACGATTGCTGCCAGTAAATGTACAAGGACTATGCTTCTTACATGAAAACTTAAAATAAAGTATTAATACATTTATGTTAAAAAACAGTTTCATATGCTTTTATTACTATCAAATGCCCAACAAACAATCGAACCGTAGCGTCGAGTCGATCGGTCGAGCCGCCCGAGAGTTCGAATGTCTCGGGAGCCCGCTCGAGCCCGCTCGACTTTCTTTAGCTCGATCTAACGACTCGGGCGCCCGACACATGAGACGGGCTGCACACCGCTACAGTGCCCAGGCATTTTTACTTTCCGACCTATGTAGGCGCACATAAGCAAAGTACCCATAATGAAAAAAAAAATTTTGTAAAATTTATTTTACGGAAATACACGTTTTAAGACCTCCTGATCATATTTTAATTATTGAAAAAAAAGAAATTGTTTTTTATTCCCATGTATGAGCACACATATGTATATTATTAATACGATTTTTGAAAATCAAAATACTTTAAGATTGAAAATTAATAAATTAAAATGAGATTCCACTCTTTACCAGTATTGTGCACGCTGTGGTATTTTTCAATAAGAAGAGTTCTTACTTTTATAACATAAACAAAACAGTAGAATTAATAATTGCAGAAATTAATTAATAATGATTTTCCTCGATTGTTTTGAAATAACCGTATCAATTGGTTATGACGAACTAAATAGAACTAACTAGAAACAAAGGAAAAGTGATCCCGTTTGCCAGTTTAATACAAAGTATGGGTTGTATCTTAAATTTTAAAAGGACATAGTCGAATATGTTTAAAGGTACAAAACATAGCGTTTCATTGTAGAACAGTAACATAAGTTAGTAGGTAATGTCATAAAACTGTTTTTCCCAGCTATATCCCTTTTTACCTGAAGTATAAGGTAAAAAGTACGAGCTACAAGGTACGACTATCCGAAAATCGTTCACATTTTATCAATGTAAATGAAGCGGCCTTTCCATCAGAGTTAAATACAAAATTTTGTAATTTCTGTGAAAACAAAACTTTCAGTAAATGTACGTGGTGCTTGAAATTTTTATGTTTTGACTGTTTTTGTGAAAAGTACCATCCAGATTCATGTACTTCGTACATTGAAAATAACATATGTTAAATGTAATCGGTTAAATTTAACTTTAAAAAAAAATATTCGAAGGTCAGACAAAAATATAATGTCATATTTAGTGTACGATTAAAGTATGATTGAAAAAATAAAAAAAAAAAGTTCAAGCAGGGTTCGAACCAGCAGAGCAGAAGAAGTTCGGAACTTGCAGGCAAAGACCTCATCACTCACGCCACGCTGATTAGTGGTGAACATAGTTCTATTTCTGAAAATAAGTACCTGTAATAACTTTAATAATATCTCAAAGTAAAACCTAACCCAAAATCTGGTACCATTCCAACTTTTCCTTGTTAGAAACGAGTTTTCAATTTGTCTTAGCGAAAATCGTAATCACATTTTGCACATTATTCTAAAACATTTGTGGTATTCGTTTTCAATGCGATTTAAGTAAGCATGTAATGTATAAGATTTCATTTAATGTTTTCTTTTCTAGAGAAGATAGAGAAAAAGTTTATATAATTTTTTTTATATAAAATTTAATTCGTCCTAAGATTTATATGAAACATTTAAAAGATTTTTTATACATTATGCCTATATATCGGAACAACTATGAAACAAGAGGTATAATCTGTAAGGAGTGTATGTGTGTGGCTAGGAGAACCGTTATCGTTTGCGTCGATAGGAGTGTTTAGTCTAAGCTAGAGTAGGTATCGAGTGAGGTGTTTAGGTTTAAGCTGAAATACGTTTTAGAGACTGCGTCTCGAACGTGCGTTTTGTTTAGATCATTATTATAAGATAGGAATAAGGAAGGGTCGACTTTGACTGCAGGAACGTCACTCTGTATCGAACGTTAGTCGAGAGCAATCACAGTTTTACGTTTATGATCTTTTACGTTTACGTTTTATGTCTTTCTTTTATGTTCTTTATGTTAAATAGTTAGTAAATATTAAATAATATAATTACATCGTTACGTTTAGTGTTCACGTATTTGAATCCGTCCACACGCCTTTGAAATGAGAACATAAAACTTAAATGTAAAGTTTCATTTAAATTCATTCAGCTATTTATATTCAATCGTATTAATAATATATATATGTGTGCTCATACATGGGAATAAAAAAAAATTTCTTTTTTTTCAATAATTAAAATATGATCAGGAGGTCTTAAAACGTGTATTTCCGTAAAATAAATTTTACAAAATCTTTTTTTCATTATGGGTACTTTGCTTATGTGCGCCTACATAGGTCGGAAAGTAAAAATGCCTGGGCAGTCGAGAATCTCGGCTCGAGAATCCAAATCGTATGCCGTTGACGGGAGGTCGGATTTCAGTTGTTAGAGCGAGAAGGCAAATGTGAGCTTTTCTCTCTCGACTCCCACGAAGCGGTACGAAATTACTTCGGGCAGCTTCGGAGAATCGAGAAAGAGGGCATGCGTCAGTTTGCCTTTGTCGTCTTTCCGAAACTCCACGAGCTCACGTACGCGTATCTAGCATGTGTGAGTGTGCACCCGACGGTGCTTTTCTGGCATCACTGCTACCAACGCTTCCACAGGGCCTGCGCTGGTGGCGGAGCTCAGGTAGGATTATAATAGGAGCGGACTGTCGATTCGTAAAAGTGAATACAGGGTGTCCCATAAGTAGTGTAAGAACCGGAAATGGGTTGTAGGTGAGACGATTCTGAACAACAACTTCCTTTGCAAAAATGTCGGATGGGGCTTCGTTTTTGAATTATTAACGAAAAACACTGACCAATCACGGCGCTCGCCTTCCGCGCGCTCAGGGCCATCCGAACTCGGAGAGCCACCGCGCCAGGTAGGTAGCAAGATGCGCGTTGAAGATACATCGAGAAACGAATACAAATAATTAAAAATACTGCCACTGCAATTGTTACCTAATTCGTTAATTACTACGTAATTAGTACGTAAATTACTAAATCGAATTTATTAATTATTTGTATTCGCTGTTTCCAAGGAAGAAGGAATAAAATCTCAGAATTTTTAGGAAATTAACTCTTCGCACTCGAGTGACGCTTCTCGCCAGCAGAGTGCTTTAAAAATAAAATAAAAATTATCATCAGAAAATTAAAATAAATACGGTAAGAACCATTTGTAACCGTTTGTTATTAAAAACTGTACTGGAAAAGCAGACTGGATTTCTGCGTACCGAAACATTCCTCGAATGCAAAGGGTTAATAGAAAAATAATTGAAATTCGACTTACCCATTCATCTGCAAGTTGACCTACTGCGCTGACAATAGGGCCCGGCCAATGCACCGCTGTTGATCACGGCAAGGTCGAAGACCCGAACGAAAATCAGCTGATGGGCCAGCCCGGTCACTGTACCTGCTTCTCACCCCGAAAACACTTTACAGCACAGTCACTCGCACTTTTCACTTTCACATACCGGTGCGTTCCGTTGGACCCTTCTTCGATTGTTGCTCCTTCCTGGATTGATGGCGGTGTCTGGATGTTGCTCCCACCTAAATTGTTACTTCTTCCTGAATTGTTGTTGCTCCCTGAATTGTAGCCGCAATGGAGCCTGGTCCGCGGCCCGGGGTGGGGATATACGCGTTACAACTTCTTAAGATTTATATAAAACGTTTTAACAAATTTTTACAAATAATGTATATGTATCGAAATAATTATAAAACTATAAGACGTATAATCATCATTATCCGGGGCTGATCACGCTCAAAATCTAATCAGACCTTGAAACGAGAACATAAAACTTAAATGTAAAGTTTCATTGAAATTCATTCAGCCGTTTAGACACAATCATGTTAATAGCATACGTATGTATGTGCGTAAATAGGCACAGAAAAAAAATTTCTATTTTTTTAATAGTCACAATATGATCAAGGGGTCTTAAAACGTGTATTTCCGCTAAAAAAATTTTCGAAATTTTTTTTCATTATGCTACTTTCCCTATACCTTACATAAGTCGAAAAGTAAAAATGCTGGGACAGTCGAGACTTGAAATCGTATGCCAATTATCGCGAGGTCGTATTTCAGCTGTTTCTCTTTTACAAGAGCAAGAAGGAAAGGCTCACATTAGCGTTCTTTACCATTTTCCCGAAATTGTGCGAAGTGCCGAGTTTACGTACACGTAGCTCGTGCAGTAGTATATGCATGCTATCCCCACCACTCCGTTAGACGCTAAGGAAGTTCGTCGTCACTATTGTCGATTTCGATGCACTCAATTAAGCCCGATCTGACCACACTGAGTTTATATAGTCAATTCTAGCTCTAGAGCATTCCAAAACAAGAATTCATTATTGATGCGTGATCCAGTGTCAGATCTGAAAATGACGGACACTAAAAACGATAAAACGAAAGTAGATCTGGGATTATTAGAGGAAGACGATGAGTTTGAAGAGTTTCCTGCGGAAGGTACATAATTTCATGGTTACAAATATATATTCTAGAATAAGAAATATCAAAATACCACGATCTAACCTTAATTTCGCTGAATGACTTGGTAGATTGGACTGCGGTAGACGAAGACAATGAAGATATTAGCGTTTGGGAAGATAATTGGGACGACGACGATGTAGAAGATGATTTTAATCAACAATTAAGGTAATTTTTGTAGTATAAAATATATTAGAAGAAAACTAATGCATTAGTACTATTTTTACCAAACATTTCAAGACACCTTTTAAAATCGTTGAAATTATTCTTTAACTTTAATCATTTTTCCTATGTTTTTATTAATTATTATATGGTAATTGTTTATACTGTAAAAGTAGTGATTGAAATAAAATGGTATTTTTTTATTTCAGGGCACAATTAGAGAAACAAAAGGCTCAGAATGAACAGGGGAAGGAAAATTAACAAACTTATTAAATTATGAATCAGATGTGTTTAATCATAAGAATAAATATGCATTAGATTATTACAACTTTGTATACATTTAAATTTCATATGTATCGATAGACTTTTATTAATTGTGAAATATAATAGTTTTTCATAAATATTTGTACAAAACTTAAACATTAAATACGAATGTACAGTTTAAATGCATATAGTAACTAGTATGCACAACGCATATCATGTAACTCAGAGGAGTTGTGTTATTTTAATGGAAAAAATACTTGGCATTTTTACTTTAAATATGTAATCAGGTACAAAGTTTGGTTTTGAAAACTTCATAGTTCTTAATTATCAATTGTCAACAAATTTACTACGTATGGCACATCAATTCCTTTCTGACTAAAATGTATTTAAGTAATTCATGACTTTCGATACTAGTAAATCATTTAAATAATTTAGTTTCATAGGTATGTATTGCACTATTCTTTCTTTAATGAATTTAAAAACAAAATAAAGTATTATAGAGCTATGCTCTACATACTTTATATTACTCTATGATCTACATGAAATTAATAGTTGCGATGCTAAAACATCTAGTATCTGTAGGTTTAAATCTATGTTAATTTTTTTTAATTCATAAGAACCAAGTAAGTATTTTAGAATGTTTAACGTATCATCCTCACCAAATATTAATTTTACATCGCTCGGAATTTTAGCTAATAATTGTTGCAACAGTCTTTCCTTTATATTTATTAGAGGTTCGTCAGAAATTTTATTTTGTACATTATGAAGAAGCGATGCATTACCCAAGCAATCAAAAATTTGAAGAACAGCAGTCTAAAATTGTATTCAATGAAAAATTTGTCATAAAAATATAAATTATTATTATTATAACGAAGAAATATGAATTATTACTTGTAATAGAGGTTCAGTAATATTTCCAAAGAGTAACTTTATCCACCTAACAACTGCTTCTTGTTGTAAGGTATTGTTACTCTCAATTCCTGCTAACAATTCACAAATAATATCTATAGCAGCGCATGTTAACGTTACGTGCGAGTCCAATTCATCTATTTCCTCTGTTAAAGAAAAAAACGAAATAATTTTAAACACTTATGAGTTTTAAGACATTTTAACTTACCTTCATAAGGAGCCTTTACAATTTCCCACCAATGAAACAATGCAGTATCGTTATTGCCATCAATTGAATCAACGGCTTCATAAGCTGTATCTACAGAACAATACTCAATTCTTTCATCCACAAGTTGTTGGAGTTCAATTGCTAAACTTTTCTACAAATAGTATAATAACATATTTTATTTTATGATTTATGGTTTTTTTTATGATGTAAGAACTCTATGAATTTAATATATATATATATAAATCTATAAGTTCATATCAAAGCAAAAAATATATTTTCAAAATCTTTATTTTCCCATGTAAAGAATATGCTATTTTATAATGGATAAAAAGAAATAAAAATAAATGGAAAAATGAAAATAATAATAATGCTTAGTGGCTTGCTTCAATTACCACTATATATATAAAAATGTATTTATTATTCTCTAATGTAGGGTATGCTTAATTTTAACAAATGTTTTAAATCAACATCCACACGAGCAAAATTAGTATCAAATATATTATAAATATTTTTATCGCAATTTATATCTATTTACCGATTTAATATCCTCGACGAACCTCCATGGTATATCAGCTAAAGGCATTAACGTAGGTAATGGAACATTTTCTTCTTCTTGGTCGATTTCGAAACCCGGAACAACTGTTTTCAAAGTGTTGAAAACACCACTTACGGTTTTGGCCAAAAGTCTGTCGAATCGAGGTACAACTACATCTGCCTTTTTACTAGCACTAGCGCTCGGTCGTAGAAAATGTCGTAATTGTGTTGGACTTTCATTACCCAAACGCGTAGTTAGAGTTTTTAAATAATTCTCTAACTCACTACGCCCACCTTCTGGTAATATTAAATCTGTCATAATATGTGTTAATTCTGGAATCTATAAATTATGTCTAATAAATAAGATAATATATTAGAAAAACCAATGAACCAAAGTTTATTTTTTATCGTACCTCTTGCAAGCTAGCATGTAACCGAGCAAAGTCACGGTATTGTCTCCTGACAGTAGCAGTTGTTGTTTCAAATAAATCAGCTCCACGTTGTTCCACATCATCAAACTGAATACAATAAAGTAGTTGCTGTGAACCATCAGGGGCTGTATGAAACTCTGTCCATGGAATCAATAAATTTGTAAATTGACTACCTTCGTATACTATGTAAGATTTTTCTTCTACATGTCTGAAAACGTCCACTATCAGACAATGTTTGTTCCATTGTTAAAAAATAAACGCTTTATTACTCACAGAGGTGTATTCACAGTTGACTTTTGCTGTAATACAGTTCTTAACCTAGCAATTGTTGTAGCAAAATCAGTAGGCTCTTCATATACTGGAGATATTTTATCATCGTCTACTTCAGAATCTACCTCCGACATACTTTGACCCCAAAGACCTCTATGTTCCGTAGCTAAATTGTCTAAATGTAAAATAGGTCTTTTGTCATTTATGTTTAGTGAAGAATTTTTATTTTCAATGGTAGTTTTCACTGATAGATCAGATTTTGGTTTTGGTAACATCCGTGGAATTATAGCTGCCGTTGAAGACGTTATACCATCACTTAAAGCATTGGATATAAATTTCTAAAAGAATCATTTTATTAATTCATAATAACCGTGTGATTGATAATTAATTAAATTTTGTAACAATATATTGTACTTTTGTGCATATTACGTCTTCCTTTTTAATTTGAACTTGGGCAACTTCTTTTGACAAGGGTCGTAATAAGTCTGACATACTTCGAAACAACCAGTTTGGAGAACTTACTGTTTCTATAACTAATAATAATCTTTTTGCTAAAATAGATAGTAATAATTTACATGGCAATGAACTTGTTAATTCCCATTGTAAAAATTCTTGTGCTAAAATATTGATTTTTTGCTGGAGCATATACTCCAAAGTTTCTGCATTACGAGAACCAGGATGTAAATACTTGAATGTTTCCTCTATACTTGATGCTGTTCCTTTCTCCACCCGTCGCGATGCTCTATAATAAAATATAATTACTTTTCATAATAAAATGCTTTTTGAAAATATATACAACACTCTGTACCTGTGATATTCTTTCAAATGTAATAAGAACACATTAGCTAGCTTATGAGTAAGCTTCACTTTATCTATTAAATTGATTTTATAAAATAATTTGGTCAATAATGTTCTTAGCATTTCTTGTGCTTCGTCAGGGAATGATTTATCATTACTAATGAATTTGTACCATACATCAATACATTTTAAGTTTATTTCTTTCAACATGTCATTTACTCTTAGCATTCTTTTTCTTTTTGAGGAAATAGTTTTTGCATTAAATGTACTCGTTTTCCTAGATGATCTTTCGATCGTCAAAACATTATCTGTTTTCTGTTCGGTTGGCCTTTTTATGGAATTTATATGTTCGTTCATTTTTACTTTATCCTCACTTTTGTTAACGAAAGCATCTTTTTCTGGCAAATCATGTAATTTTAAACTAGTCGCTAATTTTGTATATAACCAGTTATTAAGATATTTTATATTAAGCGGGACATTTGCTTTCAATGCGAGTTGAAGTAAGAAACAACTGAGCCACACTGACATTATCACAATGAAAATAGCCCATAAAATAGAAACATAAATTGATAATGGTGTGAGACCTGCCCATTCTTGTATAATTAAAGACAATGAAGCACTTAATATACTTGAAATCAACAGTATCTGGTTCAACCAGCTCATTGGTATAACTTTCCCCATTGTAAACATAATAATAATAGATTTAACATTACGTTTTGTGCCAATATAACATAAATCTGTAATAGAAATATTTATATTGTTTCTCTATAAATTCACTATATTTTTATACGCTATTGCTAACTTGTATTAAATACATTACTATGAATTAAGTTGTTATTAATATTATATGGAAAGATACATAAGCCGTAGGATATAAATAAAAATAGTTGAAACGTGCATGGATTTGTTGGAATAAAATATTGAAAATGTCTTGGGTTGCAAGTGGTTAAAATAATCATTAAATTTGAAGACAATGTTAAACTTTATAAGATACAAGATGATTCCCTCGTTGGAGGCTCCAAAAGTACCTGGCTCTATGTCAATAATTTCTTATCAGTTTTTTATATTGCTACTATGTATTAAAAACAAACAAAATTAATTATAATAAACTTATATCAAATTTCTTAATTCAAAAAGCATGTAACGCCAAATAAGGTAGTGAAAATATTTGTTAAATTAGGTGTAGGGACTTGTATTATTTCTAAGTTATTATCCTGGATTGTTTACATCATATACTTTGTTTTATGGTGTTGATAAAATAAGATTGAATTGAAAAATGTTTTTCTTTGGATTTTTCTATAGATAAGGGCCCAAAATTTCATTTTGTCTTGGGCCTCATGAAGATACACTGTATCAGTGAATGTAAAAATGTGTTTTAATAGATTACGATTAATTTTATAAAAGATATTTATGATAATCCGTTATTTAAAACATTCAATCTAAGATGGGGAAATATTATATACGAATTAAGGTTGACAATATGTAAAAGGTACTGTATTAATCTAGGATGACACATTATGAAATAATTAAATGCACTAAAAGCATCAATTGTTTATCAAGAGATAACATTCGTTTTTCATTCCTATTATTTTAATCAAACGATAAAACGCACCTTATGTTCTTCAAAAGCTTCTCTATTGTTGACATCTTGATTCTGAATTTAACCTCGACATTTTCAATCCTCGCTTGAATCCAATTGTAAAATTCTTATAAACCTGACTCGTTTTGCACACGGTTAACATTCGCGTTTCATTACTTTATTTTTGTAACGTTTATTGACATTTTTACAAACATTTTATTTTTATTTTTTTTTTTGTTACGCGGAAACACAGATTACCTACATCTTAATAAGAACAACGATCCTTATTTTTGTCACAATTATTAATATCGTTTCCGTTTCAACGACACGAACATATTTTTGCAATGATCGTCGTACCACTTTCAAGACACGAATGTTACTTTTCGTACGAGGTACTTTGTCCAATTACGCTGGAATAATTCAATATTCAGTGCAACGACAGACATGCGTAAATAAATATTATATCGCGAAGAGGAGGTTACGCGAGTAAGTGAAATTATCTTTCACTCGGTTGAAAAAGAATCACGCTGACATATGTTCTGTTATAACACATGCGTATACATGGAGAAACGTGTAAAACGATTGAATATAGGTGGTATAGATACTAGGTCATATATACCCTTTAAAACAAAGCTCGGAGAAACATTGATATCGCGCACAACGAGATAACAATTTTCTTGTGCGTTTGAAACTTTACAAACATTTCAATTTTAAGTTTCAACATTTGGTGCTATTCTTTTTAAATCTATTTTACCATTTTAAACTCACGTTATTTCAAAAAGACCAAGTAGAAAATGTAGCAAACTATTTACAAGTATGCCAATTCTGACTTGGATTTTTAACTATACCCGTTAATATAAATTTAATAATTCATAATTATATTCTACTATATAGATCAAATCTTTTATACGATATTATCTGCCGTTTTTTTTATATAAATATGGATATAATTAGTTTTAATCTACATTGTCTATGTATAATCTTATCTTACACATTATACTTATCTTTCAAGTATGATTGAATTGCAATACGCTTGTTTAGCTTACCTTGGAAGAGATCCAAACTATCTGCAGTTGATTTAATTCTTTTTTAGACATACTGGAAAATATGAATTATAGGGAGTTATTTTTTTATAATAGTAAATTAAATTTTTGTGAATACTAAAATAGTTTAGTAATCTTTTAAAATAGTATAACTCTTAAACTATTAGATTTATGATGTAACTACATTAATACTTTTTCGTAGAGTTTCATTTTAAGAAAGGATGCAGTTGTTTTTTTTTTAGATATATTGATGCATAAAAATGAATAAAATTTGCATTCAGTTTGTGTATTATTTGATACCGTTTCATTTTTCCTTATGATATTTTTTGTGTCTTTAATTAGCAATTGTTATATCAATTATTATATCCTTTGTCATAGATAAAATTATATAACCACAAAGTAGAAATTCCAAAGCGTCCGACTATTAAAGTTATGTATTTGTTAGAATTTGATAGTTATTAAAAGTAGGTCGGCAACACTGGTAAAAGAAAGAAGAAGAAGAGACGCTAACAAGAGGCTTAACAAAAAAAAAAGAATGCGTGCAGTTACAGAAAAGAAAAGTTGAAAATGTTTAAGTTTAATTTATTGTTATATTATAATATGTACAATCAGAAATATAATTTGTTTTTTTGTATAATTAAAAGTTTAATAAAGTTCAGTTAAAACTTAACAGTATTCAACTATAACTTCACGTTGAACCGTTTTTAATTGATACCGTTACAGACAACCATCCCCCGCTGAGCTTTGTTATTAGTATACGTATATTTAGAAAACTCTCCTCAGCCTGCAAGATTGAACCGAACTTTTTAGTGTTTTTAATCTTCGATGCGACGTTTTGTCAAAAGTCATGCGTTATTATAAAAAATTATGTTTTTGGTTCGAATAATTTTCCATGTTTTGCCCGGTCGAATGATAGACGTGGGCAGGTATTTATTTGTCGAGTAACGATGCATAGGGTGTTGCATCGTATAAATACAGGGTGTTCCGCATATTTCCGTAAGTAATAATAAAACTAAAGCGTTATACAGGGTGTTCGGCCACCCCTAGGAAAAATTCTAATGGGAGATTCTAGAGGCCAAAATAAGACGAAAATCAAGAACAACAATTTCTTAATTGAGGCTCCATTAAAAAATTATTAAAAAATTTCAAATCATTCCGAAAAAATTATTTTCGGTTGCGGAGGACAATTACAATAATTTTTGGTCATTAGACATACCCTCGAAATCCTACCCACTTTCGAGATAAAAATTCGAGAAGGTGTTAAATTCTTCGACAAAATTAAAAAATTTTAAATCGTTCTAAAAAAATTATTTTAGGATGCGAGGGTCAATTACAATAATTTTTGGTGAATAGACCTACCCCCGAAATCCTATCCACTTTCTAGAAAAAATTTCAGTACGGGTGGAACTTTAAACGTTAATAACTTTTTAACTAAGCCTCCATCAACAAATTAGTATTCTTGATTTTCGTCTTATTTTGACCTCCAGAAGCTCCCATTACAATTTTTCCCAGTGGTGGCCGAACACTCTGTATAACAAAAAATTCATAAGTGCTTTGTTAACAAGCTATGACAAAAATATGAAATGTGACGTTTTTTTATTTACTAAACAAACAAATTTACTAAAATTTTGTTTACAGAGAGCAACTGCTAGTTGAGACACGAAAACATATTTTTGACGTAGAATTATGTGGATAAACATTTCTTTATCAGAGTTTAGTTTCTATCATTTATCTTGGATGCTGAAGTATTGTTTCTTTAATGATAACTTTTTGTTGTCATATAATTTTGAATTATTGTTCAAGTTTATGTTCAGTAAAGTACAAAGAAACTCACGATATCGAAAAAGATTAATTTTATTTTAATATAAATTTTCTTTTTTTTATTTTAATGTACTGAATCTCAACCGAATTTCAGTTCATATTTTTTTTATAACTTCTTAAGCATTTATGGATTTTTTGTTATATAACATTTTAGTCTTAACTTCACTTGTAGAACACACTGCTGAAGTGTGTACGAAAAAATGCGGGACACCCTGTATATGGCGAGCTCATACAACAAACCCTAATATTTCAATTTCTAATATTGCACAGATCATATAAATATTTTCAAATATTTCTTTTTTTCTTCTTTCATTGAAAATAGTATGAGAAATTAGTCCAAATCCTCGTAAAATAAAAATATAAACTTCCGGATGGAAAAATCAAAATAAATAGAACTGGGTCACCACCTCCTGATGTACTCCTGATATTGAAATCGATATTTCGATGCCTGAAGAAATTTACGAGCTATATCTTGACGGTTACAGTACTATTCAAGTAGCAAAATCAATCTGTCCCTCTCTCGCCTTTAACATTTTCAGCGTGCGTCTGAGTTGCGATGAGAGATAGCGCGCGATAGAGTCCGCCTAAACTGGCGCACGTCCACCCCATGCAGGTGTACGAACACGTGCATACGAGCCTCGAAGAGTGCGGGCTCTAATTTTAGTCGTCGAAGCGTCAGAATAAACGTAAGTCACCCAGGGGCCTTGTAAGGCTAGAAGACTCTCCCGGGGACCCCCGGCATGCTCTCCCCGACGATCGCGGCATCCGCTGTAGCCGGCTACCGACAACTCTATTTTTGCTATTTCTTTATTTGTACCGCAGTTTTGCTACTCGTCTTGGGTTACGGGTCGCGCGTACCGCTTTGTTCGAGGAAAGGGCTAAAATCGACCGTCTTTGAACTCAGGAACTTACACCGGAACACAAAATACTGGTATTTTACTGTATGGAAGTACCGATTTACTTAAAAATCGGTATCATTTTCTTATCGTAATGATATTACCAAAACCAAAATAATTACTATCACCTTTCAATGATGAAAACGTTTTAGTTTATCGTATACTAGAATGGGATAGCAGACTTGATAATGAAGAGGATGTGAAATATAAATAAATGATGATATCGAAATAATTCCGGCATTTATTTCGGTTTTGGTATGGCTTTGCTGAAAATGATACCGGTATTAAGTTCAAACTTTGGACCAACCAGAGACACCGCGTCAAAGACGAGACAAATTCGTCTCGCGTGTATTGCGTTTCTGGGAATCGCGATGAAACATCATCGTTCGTCGGAAACGGTTACTTAACATCCAACGACGAGTGTATATGGATGGTGAAAACGGAGATGAAAGGATTGGAGGGAAACAGAGGAATCCGTCGAAGAAGGTGCTATGTTTCAAAATGAAAAATTTAGTTTCCGCGAATGACTAAATCTTAAAGAATCGAGCACTATACGTATGCAGACGCTTCTATTCGCGAGAGGTTTTTGTTGTGATCTTTATCTAATTTTCTAATAAGAATCTGCACGAGACTATAGGAACAAACAGTCGCGGACCGTGTGCTATTTCTAGCGGTCTTTAATACAAATAAACCATTACGTTCGGCGAATTTAATGTGCAGCTGGTATTCCGATTACGTAATTAAATTTATATCGACAGTTTTTTATCTAGAAAAACACGTAAGCCTTAATTTTTTGTTTACCGCCGGGTATATTTCCCACCATACAAAGCAAATAAGAATATAGTTGCGTATAGTTGCACGTAGGTTGGCCGTGCTCCAGAATACACTGTATCCAAAGTTAAATGTCACGAGATATCAAAACAATATTTCTTCAGAACTTTTCGGAGTATGGATTCGTAATTTGTTCACGTCTGTTATATCATCGCGCTGTACGTTTGCCAAAAATCTTGATAATCTTGGTTGATAAGGTTCACACAAACCGACATCGACTTATTATATAATACAGTTTTATTATCATTAATTATATGATATAATAAGAAGAACAAATACGCCAGGCAGCAATATGAGCCGACGTCGATGCGCCTGGTTAATGGTTTTTCATCGTTTACTTCATTCTCGTCGATTACCACCTCGTGCGTATCGCAAATGCCAAATTACGTGCGCGTACGATTTCAAGAAAAGCCTTTGCATGTATTTGTATGTCGCGTATGTGTGTGTAGGTGTGTGGGTGTGGCCGTGTGGGTGTGTGCATACTTGCCATGTGAGTCTGCGTATACATGTTTACAGGACCGAGAAGGACTCGTTGAAATGACCGAGGAGATTATCAATAAATTAATTAACGTTAATAACAAACAGTCGTGTTGTATAAACTACAAAGTAAATTACAGTCTGATAAATGTGTAGAATAAAGGCACTTCAGTAAATTTTCGTTTCCCAAAACCTCGTTCCCCCTTGTCTACCTTCTTCTCTCTTTCTTCCCTCTAAACCCCGGGTATGCCCATGTCTGCGGAAGTCGCTCTAAAATGTCGAGCATCGATAGAAAAAAAAAAGAAAAGAAAGCAGGTGAAAATCGTAAATCCTCGAGCTCGGTGCAACACCTTAGAAGCACTTGCGGTGGACGATGCCTGGGCCGGATTCGTCGTACTCCTGCTTGGAGATCCACATCTGTTGGAAGGTGGACAGAGAGGCCAGGATGGATCCACCGATCCATACGGAATACTTCCTCTCGGGGGGAGCAATGATCTTGATCTTGATGGTCGACGGGGCGAGGGCAGTGATTTCCTTCTGCATACGATCGGCGATACCGGGGTACATGGTGGTACCACCGGAGAGTACAGTGTTGGCGTACAGGTCTTTACGGATGTCGACGTCGCACTTCATGATGGAGTTGTACACGGTCTCGTGGATACCGCAGGATTCCATACCCAAGAAGGACGGTTGGAACAGGGCCTCAGGGCAACGGAACCTCTCGTTACCGATGGTGATGACCTGTCCATCGGGCAACTCGTAGCTCTTCTCGAGGGAGGTGCTGGCGGCCGCGGTGGCCATTTCCTGTTCGAAGTCCAGGGCGACATAGCAGAGTTTCTCCTTGATGTCGCGGACAATTTCACGCTCAGCCGTGGTGGTGAAGCTGTAACCTCGCTCGGTGAGGATCTTCATGAGGTAGTCGGTCAAATCGCGACCGGCCAAGTCCAGACGGAGGATGGCATGGGGAAGGGCGTAACCTTCATAGATGGGTACGGTGTGAGAGACACCGTCACCAGAGTCCAGGACGATACCGGTGGTACGACCGGACGCGTACAGGGACAATACCGCCTGGATGGCGACGTACATGGCCGGGCTGTTGAAGGTCTCGAACATGATTTGGGTCATCTTTTCACGGTTAGCTTTTGGATTCAGGGGTGCCTCAGTGAGGAGGACCGGGTGTTCTTCAGGCGCGACACGCAATTCGTTGTAAAAGGTATGATGCCATATCTTCTCCATATCGTCCCAATTAGTAATGATACCGTGTTCTATAGGATACTTTAAGGTAAGTATACCTCTTTTACTTTGGGCCTCGTCCCCTACGTAGCTGTCCTTTTGACCCATACCGACCATCACACCCTGGAAAGATATGCAAAGACGTTCGTGATATATTACGTTATGAGGTTTTGAAACCAGGAGTAAACTTTGGTGTCTGACGAACCTGATGACGAGGGCGACCGACGATGCTGGGGAAGACAGCACGAGGAGCGTCATCTCCAGCGAATCCCGCCTTGCACATACCGGACCCATTGTCCACGACTAGTGCCGCAACATCATCGTCACACATCTTGATTCGTTTCTAACGTTACTTACTGTGAACATTGAACGATATACTTAAGAACGTGTAAGTTTCTTTATTCGGGTAAAATGCGGGTCAGATTGCGTCTGTGCGAACTTATCAAGGATGTACAGTATTAATCCTTTACGGACGCATATTAAAATAAACTCGATAATATATTTGTTTCCTTTTGGCGTGCAAAATTTTACAAAGTGACGAGAACTGATCGTCTTAACTTGCATTGTACGAGAAGATGAAAAATATGCCCTTATCATAACATTTTTTTTTTATTGAATCTAAACAAGTATTTTAAAAAGTATTTCAAACTTAATATTTCAGTGATTCGTTCTTAGCCACCATTATTCGTTCACCGTGTGAATGAGTGTATACAGGGTGTGCTGTACATGCTAATGGTGCAAATAATTAATACATACGTAATAATTCGTTAAATTAAAAGAAGATATATGCATTGGAAAGAGTAACTTTTTGATATTCAATTTCTTGGAATTCTCTAACGTTTGTATTCTAAAATGTCAATCAATCTGTGCTCGTTTTAGGAAAAATCTGAATAAACTTTATGTCATAAATAACAGTTCATTAAACACAAATGGCAACTTGAACGTTTTATCCGCTTTTCTTATAGCTCTGTTGATGGACAAGGAATAGCACTTTCTTCAACAGTACCTTATGGTACGCTTTATTGTTTTACTACGTATATGTATATTCTCATATATTTGAGGTTGATAGATAAAATTACTAAATAAATTTTTTATAACTAATCACTCTTCTGGTCAACCTGTTGAAAGACCACACCCTCACAGATTTTGATGGGCTTGAAATATGTTATAAAAATATTTTGGACAACTTTTTCCTATACGTATAATAGATGATCGAATTCAATGTAATGATACCGACAGTTTTTTGCAAATATCTTGGAAACTAAAGTCGATCATTTATTATATGTATAGGAAAAAGTTGTACAAAATATAATCTTTTACAACATATTTTAAACCCGTCAAACTTCGTGAGGGAGCGGTTTTTTGACAAGTACATCATTCTTTTGTTACACGTATAAAACTTGTTCGAAAATGATTTCAATACCACAAAATATAACTCTTTCAGGAAAGCAAAGTCAAAATGTTTTACAAATTCACAGCACGAAATCTAAAACTTGACTGCCTTTTCTGGCACTACTTTCGCACCGAGAAACTTACGTCTAGAGTTTAGAGTTATTATTTCAGTTCAGATCTGCTTACATTAGAACTCTGTGATGAAAAACAGACTTCGTTACTAACAATAAGAGTCAAAGAAGCAACGTAATGCTTCGATGCAACGTAAAACATGAATTAGAAAAAAAAGAGTCAAACAGCCGCAACTAGCCGTTCAGTAAGCGAAATGTAAAGTCCAACAACTGAATTATTTTACTTAATGTTGATTTTTATCAAATTGGTAAATGGAAATCAATCTTTCTTTAAAGCATTTAAAAAATAATGAGCTAATGGAGAATTACATATATTTTCAAATAATTACATTGACATATATTAAACAATTATTAGTTTAAACTTGCGGAGGGTCGCGGCGGCCCCAATAATCCACTTAAGGGTAAAATTAAAGTATGGTTTATAAATTGAATAAAGTAATTTTTACTGTTCCAAAGTATTCGTCCGCAAAGGGCGTAAGTAGGAATTAAAATTGTGGAATTATTTTTTTTATTCACAATCATGTTAATTTTTGGCGTTTCTAATCGATAAATGGACAGTTGAAGCGTACATTGATCGCAATTAAAGAATGCAAACCTTGAGAGGTAAGAAGACATTAACGTTGTACAGTAATAAAAACGATTAGTTATTTTCTAAAATATGAAGCTTGTTAAAAATAATGAAAAAGAAGTTAAAGAAAAAAATAAATAAAAGACAAGTCAATTAGTTCTTTAATTATGAATGGATTATAAAAGAAAATACTTAGTAATGAACGAAGTTTTCGTCAGGTCGAAAATTTCATTGTTAACTCTTTCAAACTTGAACGAATTGTACGACTCAAAAAAAAATGAGAAAAAATTAGAGCATAGTTTCATAAGTATACATATATGCACGTCACAAAATTATCGATTTTAAACCATCATGCACTTATATGTTACCGTCAGATATGAAAGGGTTAATGGTGAACGAAGCAGCTGATGCAGTCAAGCAATTATACATGCAGTACAGTTATGTACTACAATTAACAGCGTTTAGTACAATAAACTGTTCGGCGAAACTAATTAACCATCAATTGGAAAAAGAACGTTTACGAAATGTATCGTAATCACATTCTCGACGATCGTGAAAATACGTTTTTCGTCATTGCATCCGAGGAATCCAATTGTGTTAATCGCGTGGAAAAAAAATATGCATACTGAGGATCAGCAACGTCAGTAATAATAGAAGCACAAGCATTGGAGTCACATTCGCGGAACGGCACTTCACAATCGTCCAAGGACATGCAAAATCAAGCAACGACGTCCTCGACGATCGACTGCGTTCGATCCTCGTACAGCCTGGTTGACATCGATTTTTTAGTCGTTAAATCACTGAAATGCGAGCCAATGAATCGCACACGAGAAAATCCTCGAGATCCACTGTTCCAGCGATCGTACGGATGAAAATCCAGGTTCTCGAGGACCGAAGACAATCCGTGGGCGTCGTTTTTTTCGATCGGTGGCGATCGAGAGAAAAAGCTTGCCGACAATCACACTGTTAATAAGCTTCTTGGATGAAAATTGCGAGACACACGTTTCGATTTACCGTTCACTAATGAGTCGAGAGATCGGCAACGATCGCTTAGGGTGTACGTCGTGCAAGAGACCGAGAGCGGCGAGTGGCACAGTGCCGGCTCTGTGGGGTCCCTTTATCCATATCGGTTCGCAGCCGAAAATAGCGATCCGCCCCTTAGATGGAAATCTATCGTGCCATTAACACTCGTCTCAGCCCGCCGCCGCAGCCTAGTCCTTAGCCGCCCTAACAGCAACGTCGAGAGGGAGAGACGCCGTGCGTCGCGACGC